TGGTTGTTGTTGTTGTTGGCGCGGCTACATTAGCTTGCGCTCGTGGTGGGTTCTGCGCCTGTGGTTGGCGCGGCTGGAATTGTCCCTGTCACTGGGACTGCGGGTTTTGTCGGCGATATTGTGTTGCTGGTTCAGGTCAATGCATGCGACCCATTGCTTGTAAATCACGTAAGTGGTTGGGAGTTCCTCTAAAGAGTTGTACAAAAGCCGTATGATGTCGGCCTGGAGTGCCTTCTCTAGGAGTGACTTCAATTCTTGGAAGTGCTTTTCGAAGTCATGAATGTTTGCCTGGAAGACACATAATTCAAACTTTGAAAAGAACTCCTGCGCTGTTAATGCTCCCATCTGCATAGCCTGAAGCTGATCATACGCCTCTGACGCTTCATTGATTAGGAAGTGTCAGTTTAGATCTTCCCACAGTGCTACTGTGGTCTGGATCACTGTGTCTTCATTGGTATCATATTTTTTCATATACATGGCGATGTATTTGCCTGCGTGTTCTTCTTTCATGTAGGACAGGATCATAAGGACCCTATCAAATTGCTCCGGTAGACGCTTCCTTTGCGTGACCACATAGAGCTTCATTTGTGTCTTCCAAGTGATATACTTGGATTTCGTGCTGTCAAAGGCATCTGGTTTCATTGCGCTTCCATTGATAAGCGCGGCATTGTCTTGGTTCTCAGCCATTGCACTGGGATCAGATGGAGAAGATGGGGATGGAGGAGAGTATCGGCTTGGTGGATTCGACGGTTTGCCTTCTGAATCTTCTTCTATGGGCTGTTCTGGTGGGCCTTCAGGTGGTACTTCTGCTTCTCCTAGGGCAATCGAGCAGAGTTGGGCAGTAACTGAATTGAGGGTATCGCGTCTTTCTCTGGGTTCTGAGCCAGACGCTACTGGTTCAGGGGTGAAGAGTGATTCTGCAGGTTTACCGAGGCCAACTCTTGCTATTTCTCCAGTTAATTCTTCTTCACACCATGGATAGCGAGTGCGATTAGTCAGAAAGTGTGGACACGGTTGTTGCGCACAGTATCGTACGATATCACCGCATTTACTGATGTGCCGCCCGTTTTGTACTCGATGGGTGTAGATTCTGCAGTCACAAGAGAGTCTAGCGGTCATGTGCTATTGGGTTCCTGGAGCTTGTTGCAGCAACCCTGGGACCAATCGTGTTGGAACAACCAGATCAGGGGTAGAGATTGCCAAAGTGGGAAGTGTGTAGAAAAGTACTGAAACGCTATCTTAATACAGTTCTAGGAATATTATAACAGCCCAAAGAGCAATTGCTTCTCTTCGGTCTGACGTCCGAAAAGGGATCGTTGATCTAACTGTTATCGCTTTTCCGATGCCCGGCCGCAACCAGTTGCCACGTCGTACTCAGGAATACCCGCTTGCACTGCACAAAGCGTTTAACACCACCTATGGTAGGGCAGCGTACAATTCTAATAAGACGGAGCTCTGTTCAGCTGCCTAAGAGCTGGTGATTACAGAGGTGGCTTTGGGGGTATGATGTGGTAAAAACGCGCAAGTGCACAGAGAAGGGTTCCAGGGGTCTTGATGCAGTAGAGTCAATAGGGTTAGGATTGGGATGAGATTTCGGATGCGTAAAAGAGGTAGATCGTCGTGTGGAGTAGGTTGATGGATGTGTGAGAGTGTGGTGAGGATTGTTATAGGGCAGTTAGGAGAGACTCGAGCTAATGTCAGCAACTAACAATCCAACTGGACTGAGCTACGACACAGCTGAGGAGACAGACGAGAGAAGAGTGAGTGAGTAAAGACCAGCTTGAGTCTGGCTTGTTATTGAGCAGTACAAGCTCCTTATATACATGTCAGACTCTATACATAGAATATACTACGAATATACAGAGGCGTATAGAAAGTAAAGGAATACTGTGGAATCCAGGAGAACCATCCAG